CACCAGCTATGGTCGTCCCCTATAACCACCCCCTTTATTTCGACCTTCTTTGGTCGCCAAGGAGCGTTGGGTTTGCTTGCTAGCTCGCTTACGCGCCCGCGCGCGTACACGCACGCGCTCTCTCACGCCAAAGTATAATCTTAATGCAGTCTTATACGAAGCGGAACGAGGCTATATTTCATTATAACCCCGCAGTCCTTCCGGAGGAGCCCTTTTCGCGAACCCTTTCCATTTCGACTACTATAAGCGTAAGGGCGACTGGGATTTTCCTTCAAGATATCGTCCTTGCCTTAGAAGAAGGGGCCTTCATCGTTTGGAAACTCTTATTCTCTCTCTCTCTCTCTCTTTCTTTATTTGGTTCAAGGTAGATGATTCGAAAGGAAAGAGAAAGAGACGGCAATCTAAGGAGGGAAGGGAGAGGTAAAGGGGTAACTGTAAGTATCGAAACGGCGACATTGGCTAAAGTGCCTCTCGGCGTAATGCCTTCCCTAATCTTTCCCTCCCCCACGCTCCATCCTGTCGAAAAACTACCCATTTCTCTCAAAATGATAATATAGAAAATGGGAAAATAGAGAATAAGACCTATCGAAATTATAATTCATGATAATAGAGATGATAGGTTAATATTCGTATGATGAACACCTCGGCACACATTTGTTTTTAGGTTAAACACAACGAATTATCATTACATTCTTTTTTTCTTCCTTTGATTTCTTCTTACAGACTTCCCACCCACCCCACCTGGAACTGAAACGCATTATAGTAATTAAGTAACTTGAATTCGTAGACAAACGAAGTTTACGACAACAACAGTGATGTACAATTATTTGCAATGGAATATCAAACTACTCTAACGTCGATTAAAACGACCGTCGAAAGTTGCCAACGAAGGAATAAGGTTGTAGGGGACAGGGTGGGTAAGAGAGAGACGACATCGCGGCTCGAAACTTAAGGAAATAACTGAGAGGAAGGTGGGTTAGCTAAAAACGGGAGTATATTTACGATGTTACAATGCCCTACGGACTAATCCTCGCCCCGGGCATTACCTAGACCGTCGATCGAACCTTCTTGCTTTTCCATGGAATGCAAGCGTACCTACTTAAGCTTGGCTACGGGAACTTGAATAACCCTAAGGAATCAATATCGTCCTTAGTTTTCTAATAGAAATTGTGCGAAATTCGGTAAAGGTTCACGACAGGTGATATAAATGGGAAAAAGAAAATAAAAAGACTCCCCCACCACTACCACCACCATCACCACTTTCCCCTTTCAAAAATACTTTCGTAAAAATTCGTCCAAACTCTGACTACACCTAATTGACACGATTTTTATAAACTCCCGTTTCCCCTTTTGCTTGTCAAGGTTTAAAAGGCAGCTATTGTGACGATTCTCATCCTCAAGATACGCTCTTGAATCCAACCATTATATCAAAAGAATGCGACAATACCAACCTCATAATTGTCCTATTACGATGATCGTTCAGCATGAAAAGGTTCGTCTTATTCCCGTTAAGAATTATTTACTTTAACTACCCTCCCAACCCCAAACCTTGGACAAACATACCGTGGAGAGTAATAAATCATGAGTAATAAACAGATCTACTTAAAGGGATTTTACGAGATTAACTTTCTAGTATTTTGATATCTCTTTTATACGGTTTAACAGAGGATTAGTGTTCACCCAAAACCCAGATACCTTTTTCAGGGAATGTTGTGAAAGGACGGTGTTACGACAGATTTGGTCAACCCTATTTTCAAATCCTAAAATGTTAACAGCAATAGATTTAACGGGAAAATAAAATTAAATCAGTGGATTTATGTTCTTTGTTGACTAGTCACTAAAACATCAACCATTTTGATTCTTATTATCAGTATCATAACCTATAATCATGATTATGGCAAAAGATAATCATTTCCAAGACTTTTTATGAAAGTAACCAACTATAAATTATTAACAGACATACCTGACTATAATTTTGAAACAAAATCAAATAGGACAAATGATTATTTAAACTATTTTTGTTGTTTTTATTGTATCACCTGTCCACTACCGAATTGGGTCCCATCCTGTTATGGTACACCCTGTATAAGATGTACGAGAGAGAAAACAAGCCTTGAAGGAAGGAAGGAATATAATCGTAATAGTAATCGTGCCCCTAACGACCCTACAGGTGAAGCCAGAGCAGATTTAACATTAATATTCTAAGAACGTTGCGCGGAAGCCAACGGGTCTTAACTTCGGTCTTTGTAATAAAGAAATCAGCAGGGAGCATAAAATGATAGTCAGCTGGTGACTTTCCCACTACTTTTGCCCGAAAGAAACAACGGGAAGATGATTATTTTTTTATGCCGGTAATATTGAGTAACAGCTATATAATGTCGAATGCATTAAGATCAATTTACATTGTGATAAGAAAAATCTCATGGTTATATTAGTGGTAATTGATCGTGACAGATTTAATTATTTGACATTGATTACATTGTAATGTATTCTTCATTATAATAATTAGTATGCAATAGTATTTATTCAGTAAAAATATTTGGATACAAAAAGGAATAAGAGGAAGAAGAAATAGGAGTCCTGAAATATACGTGCAGCACCCTCTGAAGTCAACCCTTTAAACTTCATAGCCAGCAGTTGGCATTATTGATTTTACACATTCTCTTTTCAACGTAGACTATTATCTACTAATTTTATCTTTACAGAGAACAAATTAGTATCAAAGATTAAAACTTTTAACGAATAGATATTATAGTCTTGTGTAAACTTTTTCAACGAAAAAAAAAAAAAGAAAAAACATTCTAATTGAATTATGTCCTTTTAATTACGTTACTGTACACAGATAAATTATAAACTATTAAGAAATAGTTTAATGTCATCGATTACATAATATCACCAACTCTTAAAAAGTGTATGATAGTTTGTGACTAACTTTGATTTCACGGTATAGAATTTGTCTTATTCAAAACGTCGCGGAATCCCTTAGCCCTCCTCCCTCCCCCCTTCACCTTCTTCTTCTTCTCCCTATTCGCCGTTGGCTAAATAGCTAACTTCGCATAACTATCCTAATAGATTATGATTATTGTGGAGGAAAGCTCTGATTTATGCAATTATCATAAATTCAGACCTGCCCGGTGTATGCTTAAGGCGCTTCTCCTAGAGAAAGCTCCTCCATTCACAAGATTTCAATAGCAAATTATATCCCTGTAAAGTACGCGTCACCATTTTCATAAAAGATCTTTTGTATGAGATGACGTCATTGCTCGTTAGTTTCTCATCATACATATACACATACATTTCATTTTCGACATATCCTTTTGCATCTCATTTATACGAGAAAAAGAGAACAAAAGATTTATTATATTATAATTTAAAATAAATTTATAACATTTAAAGAATGATATTTTTTTTAAATTGTCCATTATTTTGACTAATATAGTACAAATGATACATAAAAGGCAGTATAGTCCAATAAAAATTAATCGATTTTTTTTATAAGTTATTGGTCGATAAAAAGAATTTCTACCTTATCGACGGAGAGTTTCTTGCTTGTGTTTGATTATATTACCATCGAATGATAAGTATACTAATCCGAAACCCATGTCGGTAAGTAACTACTAAAAAAAATAATTATAAATAATTGCATAATGTGTTAAATTATGATTTCTCATTTAAAACAAAAAATTATTTAATATTTATAAATATTACATAAATATTATCAATTTGAATAAGTTTTCTTTAGATTTTGAAGACAAATTTATTGACCGTTGATAAGAAAGATTCCTACTTTTCAGCAAACGTCATCGACGATCTTCATTAGATACTCGTTTCTGTTTTTAGCAGCGCCATAAGATTTTAGTGGCTAGTAGATAAAATATCGTATGAATAAAAGGAAGTTCCATTCCACCCCCAATTATCTCGTCTGAACTTTCCCGACAACTCCCAAGAGGGGTTGAAACGAATCAGAACTTCTCGAGAAACTTTAAAAATCGTTATTTAGCTGTAAGGGGGTAGAATCTTCGACGAATCGTCCATATATATCTTTTATAGCTATTAAAAGGATCCTAATCACTCCAAGAATTATAAGAAAAAATATACAAAATAATAATTAAAAAAAAAACCTATTTAAAAAAATTGTTTATAGATAAAATAATACACGTGTAATATACGTGTTTTAAATACAAAATTAAAATGGGCCTTAAAACCCAAATAATTGTGCGATGAAGTTAGGAAATAATAATAAAAAAATAAAACAAATTAAAAAATTATTTATGGATAAAATAATAATAAATTATAATACATGTTGTATTGTGTATACAAAAATAATATCATTTTTTTTTTCACGAAAATCGATATGAAATTGCATCCTGAAACGAATTGAAACAGAGATGATGAAAAGAGTCATTAACAACGTATGGTGTTAAAAAAAAACCTATGAATGCGTTGGGTGATAAAGCCGAAAATTATCTGCTTCGTTGCTCGTCACTGCGTTTGGCTTACGTAGACATTTATACGAGTAATAACAATATCCCCACGTGCAGAATGATCGATAAAAAAAAAAAAGGAACACGAGTCTGACACAAAGTAAAACGTCAGCAGTTTATCGTGTTACAATCGTTTTCAACTTTACGTTTTTTCCCTTATCCTTTTTTGATTTTTTTTTTTTTTTATGTCTTTTAACAATTTTATAGCAAAACTTTTTTTTTATCAAAGAACGTTACGCTATCTAATTCGCGAACAGTAGAAGTTTTCCATAAAGAAAAGAAAACTAAGGTAAGACACAGAATCTCAAGGTAAGTTGAAACTTTTAAATGCATAGAAAGAAAAAGAAAAAGAGAGAGAGAGAGATCGATAGTTCTCTCCCAGTTTTATGCAACTATTTTTATCCATCTACAATCCTTTATCTAGATAATAATTATATTTTAATCTTGTTATTGGACGCATTGAAATAGAAAAAGAAATTCAAATTATTTCATATTCATTTATAATACTCAGCTTACCTTTTTCGGTGTTGGATGCAAAACGGTGATTGGCACCTGACGAGGAGTAGAAATCGCCAATGAACTAGTCGGTTGTTTAGATGAAAATTGCGACGGTTGTTTAGTTTCTCTACTAGATGGCAATTCGAGAAGATGTTGTATCGAATGGTTCTTTCTAATCTTCTTCGACGCCATCCTATAAATAAAACGTTTATATGAATGGGTTGAACAAGAAAAAAAGGATACAAGTAACACTTAATTTTATTTTTTTATTTTGAAATAAATACACACAATTACAGAAACTAAATGCAACTTTTTGTCTAATAAAATGATACGAAAATATTTGGATAAAGTCATTTGTATCCCTTTCCATTTCAACCCCTTATATATATCTATATATATATTTTATTAATTTATAAAATGAAAAGAAACGTTTTGCATGTAAAGTAAACGTTTGCATTTAAAAGCTTAATCTATTAACAATAGGAATTAAATGAACAAATAAAGTTGAATAAACAAGAGAGGTGGTAAATCTTAACCCTTTCTATTTCAACCCCTTATATATATATAAAAAATATTTCCTTGTATTAATTTATAAATTGAAAAGAAATGTCTTGCATATAAAGTAAACGTTTGGATTTAAAAAGTTAGTCTATCAAACAATAATAATTTAATGAACAAATAAAATTGAATAAACAATAATAGTGATAAATCTTAACCCTTTCCATTTCAATCCCTTATATATACATCTATATATATAAACAGAATATTTTCTTGTAATAATTTATAAAATTAAAAGAAACATTTTGCATGTAAAGTAACGTCATTTATAAAACTGTAATCTATTAACAATAATAATGAAATGAACAAATAAAGTTGAATAAACAAGAAAAGTGATAAATCTTAATTCGGATGTCACACATGCATGAACGGGCTTTTCGTAGGGTGAAACCATAGCAGCAGCAGCAGCAGCAGCAGCAGCAGCAGCAGCAGCAACAGCAGCATTGGATATCGGTTGAAACTTTCGCATTTAACTTTTCCGTCCTGCTGGGGAAACGACCAACAAAGCTCATCACTGGAAAGTTTTCCGAGACAAGGACGACTAAACCCTAAGCGAGAGCGAGATGTAGCGTGGCGCGCGCCACCAGGACCTAAATATATATATATATATACCTATGTAGTACCTGTATATATATATATACGTATACGTCTACAAAGAAGATGACGACGAAGACGACGACGACGACGAATAAACCCTCGATATACTGGGTGTCCTTTTATATTTTTTCTAATTTATAACAAAATAGAAGAATTTTTAGATAGATAGATTTTGTTATAAAATAGATAAATTTTCTAGATAGATTTCGTTATAAAATAGATAAATTTTCTAGATAGATTTTGTTATAGAATAATTTTGCAATCAACCATTTTAAATTATAATTATGCTATTATATGAATTTTGTTTATTATTCAATATTAAAAAGTAAAACGTTCAATATAATTGCAATAAATAACAATATAATAATAATATAAATTAAAAAAAATTTAAATATTATATTTAAATTAATAAGAAATAAAAAAATAAAATTTATATAATATATATATTATATAAAATTATGATAAGATAATTATTATATAATAAAAAATTAAAAAATAAAAATTATTATCTAATAATCAATTAAAAAAAAAAATATTATATATTAATTATTTAAAAATTATAATAAATTATAATAATTATATAAAATTATAATAAGTTATTTTTATAAAACAAATAAAAATTAAACGAAAAGTATATTCTCTGCACCAATAAAAAATAATAAATAATATTAATTATTTATTATATTATATTATTTATTAAAAACGATGTTACATCGGAAAAGTGTCTCTGTGTGCATATGCGTATCTAAATATGTATGTATATGAGAAAAAAATAGAGGAAGGTAAAAAAGGAAGGGGAAAGGGTAGGGAAATGGTAGGGAAAAGGTAAAGTAACGCGCCCCAACATCCGCGAACATCCTCGAGGTAACTCACCTCAACTCGGAACAGTCGCAAAAGTTTCTCTACCCTCTCTCTCTCTCTCTCTCTCTCTCTCTCTCTCTCTCTCTCTCATGTTTACGCACGCGCCAAATCGTACAACACATACGTCTCGACACGTGCATATTGTTCTACGCGCATGTCCATTCCCACTACGCTAGTGTATTATATATATATGTGTACGTATATATATGTGTGTTACTGTTTATATCTTTGTGTTCAACATCAACCTGACGAGAGATTACGACCGTGACCTTACCGACAGATTCGTGGACCGAGTAAATTCCATGAAGAATTTCAAATGAAATGTTCTGACAATAAAAAAAACATTGAAGAAATAAATGAAAAATTTATTAAAAAGAGAAAATTTATACGAATAATGTATAAATTAATGAAATTAATTAAATGGCAATTAATTCACAAAAAGTACTCAGACTTGTCGTCATAGTAGTGCATGGCAATTGGTTTTTAATCAGACAGACAGCTAACTCATTCTAAATGCATATAACATTTTCATGAGATCAAATCGAAACGAATCATTTCGATTACGGTCTTCTTCCTTTCTACTATAAAATACGATTCAAAGATTCATTTAGTGTTTCATTAAATTCATTATAAAAAAAAAAGTACTTTCCATTAACAACGTGAATTTTATTCTAAGAGAATGATAAACTTTCATTTGAACTTTCGTTCGAATAAAAAAGAAGAAAAAAGAAACATATTACAGATTTGAAAAGTTTGATACTTACTTTGAATGTTTTAAAAATGAAATGAAAAAGTTACTATTACACGTATTACATATTATTATGTATTTTTGACTTTTGTAAAATGATTACAAAACATTGAAAAGAATATCAACATACATACAGGGTGATTCACCAACTAAATATCCTAGTAGCACTAGTAACTACCCCAGTATACTACTAGTATCTTAGTAAACAAGACAAATCCAACGATGTGCAACATTAAATACAAAATCTGACAATGACCAATAAGAACTAATCGTAAAATATCTGTTCCATCCGTTGTCCAAACAACTAAAGGATAATGCAACCCTGACGCAACTCTGACGCGACCACGACACGACCACGATGTGAAGAGCTGTATTGTGGCTAGCCTTTCGCCAGTTTTCACCTTCGTTGAGCTTCCAAAATATTAATGTTGCATATCATTAGATTCATCTTGAATGCCGCTATCCGAAAATGAGTATTAAAATATAAGTAAGTAAAAAAATAAAGTTGACCAATAAATCTTGAAAATGATTCAATCTAGTAGAAACATATTAATGTCGTATTGTAGTCTTGAATTTTTCATGAAACTTTTTTCTTATTCATTTTTCTGATATTTTTATACTTTCGGAGTTATTTAGGTGGTGAATCACCCGGTATAATAGAATACTAAGAATTTACTTTAAGTAAAGAAAGAAGACCACTGGCAATCAAGCGAATCTATAACTCCGGGTTCTACCGTTAGATATAAAAGGTACTCATCATTATGATACAATAACAGGTTATTATGTAATACTTTTTTTGTATCCTATTTATGATATAAGTTCATCTTCAACGAGAGAACCGAAATAGAAATGGAACACGACCTACGAACGAATTGGAGAAATCGATTTGAGAACGTTGAACATTATGGTCCAGCAATGATGTCAAAAAAAGTATAAAAGAAAAAAGTAAAGGAAAAAAAAACCTGATCTCATGTCGTTCTATTCTTTTGAAAGATATTAATCATGAAAATCATTTTTAACATTTTAATGGCCGCTCACACAATATGTGTGTCATAGCCGGAACAACTGTTATTAGCAGTTATTTATTTATAACTTTTTGTATATTTAAAATTATATAACATTAAATTTGTTACTTAAATGTTGTTGTTTTTTTATGTTAATTTAATAAAGTTTTTTTAAATTAATTCTTCAAAAATATTACCGGACCCTAGCAACTTTTAACTGCGTAGACGTGCGGCCATTAAAGTGTTAACTTTGATATACTTTAGGAAAAAAGAATTTTCTGATAATTAACTTTAAAAGAAGAAATAAAGAAACTATTAATCCGTAGACTACACATATTTGTTCGTTGGATCAGTGATCAAATCTTTGCAACTTTTAAAGTCCCGGATGACTTGAAAGCAGAAAGACGAAAAAAAACGAAGATGGAGATAAAAGAGAAGAAGAAGAAGAAGAAGAAGAAGAAGAAGAAGAAGAAGAAGAAGAAGAAGAAGGAGAACAGTACGTATTTCAGTCATCCGGGCAACTTTTGCAAGTTTAATGCCCGGGCGCTCGAGTAATTTAACACGACGAAATTAACTTTTCAGTTTTACCAAAGTTTCTTGGCAACTTAACCGCGCTTTTACCTCCTTCCAAGCCCAACCCTCCCCTTAGACTTGCTGCTTCCACAAACTCCTAGCACCCTCACCCTCTCACCCACTCACCCAACTCACCCTTCTCGTCTTTCACCTATACGAAGACTTCTGGAGCAACTTTTAAAACGTTCCGTCGTGGTAACAACTGCGCTGGTGCACCGTGCACAGCGCTACCGAACTATAATTCCACCCTTAAAACCCCGGAGTTTACGACGTAAACTTTTTCGCGAGCAGAGCAGAGCAGAGCAGTCGCGCGATGGGGCTGAGGGGGAGGTGGGTGATGTCGATACTTCGATTCTGATGGAAAAAAAAGAAAGAGGGGAACAAAAAAATATGATTTGTGCGTAAAAAGAAAAAACAACAATCAAATTACCGAAGGGGTGACTCGTATCTAATATTCTCACCCCCTACCAAACGAAAATTATGATTACACAAATTTACTCGACTTTACATTCGTGATATCGAATAAACTATTTCGTATCGTATATAAGCTTTCCAACCATAATTTATATAGATTTCCTAAGAGGTTTAGCTTATCCGCTTCTAAGAAATATGATAGCCTCGATATCGAAAAGTAATGCAGCGTAATGTTGAAGATATAACGACTTTACTTAAGTATGCAATCGATAGATTGATAAAACATGTCCCAATAACGGAAATGCATATGTACACATGTTACATATACATACTAGTATGCATCAGCCACGCATTGCTGTGACTTTGTTATAAAATGTTAATTTAATATAATTATAAACTATTTAGTAAATTATAACAGCACATAAAATAATAATACAG